TATTATTTTAAGTTAAGAGCTATCTTAATTTACATAATTTCTCAATTTCATTAGTTATTTTCATAAATAAACAAAGAATAAGAAGTTTTCAAAATCACCACATATATACAACATCATACATAATCAGCAAAATAAATAATGCTTCTACTAAAAAAGAACTGATTATAGGGGGTAATATTCACTTTTTGTTACTTACGAAAATAGAAAAACATGAAATACAACAAACTGCCAGCTGGCGCCTCTTTGCCTTCTGATTGGCTCCTTCCGTAAATTAATTCCGAATCTTATCCATCGAATTCATCCTGAGACCATCACCACATCCCAACCATTTCAGGAGTGACAAACCAGCATGTCATTACCATTATAAGATTAGTATCTCTAACTTCCTTTTTCGTTTTTGGTAAATAACCATTCTAACTTCTAAGTGACATCCCAAAACCCATCACATTTCCTAAATTACTACACTTCTGGGTTTTCAGAGCACACGAGAGAACAAGGCATTCATTCACATATTGCCAGTCAGCAACAGAACAAGCAAAGAAAATATGCAAAAAGAATGGCTACAATCCCAAAGCACCATCTTTTGGTACAGCCGTTATGGCACTCATCCAATCTTCATACCAGAGCACATACCCGCAGGCTTCCTCATGTACATGTTCAATTATAGTATAAACTCCATGTTGGACACCCATTCAATTACATGGACATAAAAGCATAATCATTAATGCTAGTTCATACAGAGGACAGACAAAAGGATGATGGAAACTCCTTTCAGATGGATATCAAGTAGATCGTAGATCATCAATATCTAATTTCTCATATTCTATGTGGTAGATAGAACATAAAAATAACACTAGCCCAATTTATTTGATAAGCAAATACAGCAGCTAAAATGTGATGCATATCAATAGCCTCCAAAAACATGTATTGCATTGCAGGACAACATACAATAAAAAACAGAACAAATTTACTTGATGATCCAAGGAACTAATGTAGAGAATTAATTTCTCTTTAGAGACCTAACAACACATTCCAACCACTTTTATTGAAGCATATTACTTTACAGTTTCAGGGTAATCTAAACAAGCAAATAAATGTCAGTTACTTAACGACCCAAATGCATATTCTAAAAATTAACTCATCATAAATTATCTACCGATAAAAAAGTTAGCTTCTGTTGGAAGTTCTTAAACAATCAACAATGATGATTCTATTTATAAGATGTTGACTCAATCAATGTATTGCCACCTGCCAGGTGCCTACCCCTGGCTCTCACAAAAACATTGCTCCAGTGTGGTTCCCTCAAATGTGTCATTATCAAGTCTCTATCCCCAAAGTACAGGGCCCTTGGTTTCTTCCATCTCACTTAATAGAGGAAGAAGAAACAAGGTCGTCATGATGTTGCTTTCCTATTGAAAATTACTTGATGCGAGTGAGAAAAGAAAATGGGGTAATGTTAGGAGAAAAGATTCAGTTTCGCATTCCAAATTTCACGGTGTAGAATAAGAATAAAGTTCAACTGTAAAGGTGACGCTATGTGCCTATAGTCCCAAAACTCTTTTATACCTTACTAAATACTAACGGAAACTGCTAAGAAGAACTAGGGAGATAGCTATATTGTTAAATAAATTTGGTCATAAAGTCCACATAGTTTGAATTTAAGATCTCCAATGCTCAGAAAGAGCCAAAGTGAATAAGTGAATCACTGGATCCTTCCACCATACAACAAACTAACATAGAAAAGAATGAAAGCTTTTATTACAAAATTTAGCCTTCAATGAAAGGAATAACAATAAAATTAACTACAGCTGAATCAAATATTCTAAATAGGAAACATGAACAACAGGCATCGAGAAATTGGAGCTTATAAATCATAAATGATATATGGTAAAACCACGAGAATATGATAATCCAAAAAAACTTCCAGCACGAATCATTCAAACAATAAAACTAAAGCAAACAATTTGTGAGAGAAAAGAAATACTAATCCATACAGAAGCTGAAGGATCTAAACCATAACCATTAGAAGTAAGAACAAAAATTGGCGTGTAGCAATTAACTACTAACCACTGTTGCACAAAAAGAAGATCGGCGATCTGAATAATCGTTTGAGAATACTTAGTAGAAACTGAATTGACATGTCCAGCATTTCAACATTAAAGAAACAGCAGAAGAAAGAAAAGGCGATATGAAAAAGCAGAGAAACTCATCCATCTATTTCGAAAAGCGAAAACATACAATAAGTAAAAAAAATCACAAGAAAAGCATTAGATACTGCAATCCTGCCATCATTTACAGAGCTAAATTTGAAACATGACTAAAAAAAAGAGGAACGTAGCATTCGGTTACCAATTGACGAATCGATCAGAGATCCGAAACAGGAGTGGTGTTCCGTATATGAATCATGCTCCGGCTCCAGATTTGGAGCGATAGAGCTTGCCAAACACATGAAGAGCGGTGACAAAGCCGATGAAGCAGAGACTCATGACAAGGACAACCGTGGGCGAGATCTTCAAGCCGGGGGCATCGTCAGTGTAAAAGCGGAGCATGTTACTGCCGGAGCCGGAGCTGACAGAGCCAGCTCCCGACGCGGCCGAGCCTACAGTGAGCCTGCGACGGCGCATACCGGCCGTTGCTGCCGCAGAGCCGCGCGGGGCCACGACGCCAGGTCTTGAGGTGGATGAGGAAGAGGCTTGGGATTGTGAAGAACCTCTAGCCATTGTTAGCTGCAAAACAGAGAACTCAGAAAAGGAAAGGAAAACAACAGAACAGAGAGCTGTTCGCCTGAGAGAAAAAGAAGGAAAAACAGCGAAAGGTGGAGGGTAAGAGTGCAATAAGTGTGATGATCAGGGATGTTTACATTGGCGTGCAAATCGAGGGCTGGATTAGGTCGAGAAGGTTTGGAGCCTTTGGGCCGTTGAGGTTTTTTTCTGGGCCTCATATTGGTGTGGATATCAAGGGCTTGATGAATCCATAAATCTTGTAAAGATGTGGGACCTTTGGGCCGCGGAGGTGGTTTGGTTCTGGGCCTCGGACTTTTTCTGGAAGCGCATTTTTTACACTTCTTGTTGTTATTATTATTTTTTTTTTAATACGAGAGAATTTTGGGGAATGGGAAATTTTTTTTCAAATTGTTGGTAAAAGTTTCCTTCATCTAAACCCAAGCATTAAAGATTGAGAATGAATCATTGGGATCAAAGACCCAGTTCAAGGTATGGTTTTATTTTTAGGATGGTTGTTTTGAGTTTTTTATTTTACTTTTAAAAATTTTAGAATAAAATTAAAAAGTTTTATAAATTTATTAAATTTAAATTTTAAGTATAAAAAAGTGGTTATCAACTCGTATGGTAAAAAATTATATTAAAATATATCTTAAAATTACATCATTTTAATAAAATTATATCAAAAAAATTAAAATATTTTAATTATTTTTAAAATAAAAATAAGAATGTTTTAATCTTTTCTTGTAGTAATTTATTAAAACAATGTAATTTTAAAATATTTTTTTACTTAATTTTTTATAAGTCTAATTGATAAATATTAATTTTTTAAGTATTATTTATAAAAACATATACTTAATAAATTATTAATTTAATTTTAATTTTAAGTTTTTAATTATTAATTTTAATTTTTTTAAATTTTAAAAATTAAAACAAAAAATTATTACCATACTCAACAGAGTATTAATTTCTCATTAAAATAATAATAATAATAATCAAAAAAAGTATTTCTCTGGAAATGCAAAATCAAGCTTTGACGTTACTCCACATCAGAATCACGAAATTTACCTCCTAAAATCTAGATTTATACACTCGTTTTTTTGACAAAAGAAAATTCCTCTGACGGAATTTCAATCTCGTGTTGTGCGCTTGCATGTTGCCCAGTACTTAAATTTGGTTGGTTTGCATCCCTATCATGCTCTACGTAACCATTTTCCACGTTATTATGGCCATGTGAGGATGAACCCTCACCACGATTCCGGTGCCAGACGGATGGAGATCCTATTTGCCCATAATCGATCTCAAAATTCGACTTCTTCGGAGATGTCTGGAGGCTGTCCATTTCGCTCCGGTGGTGTCGAAGGAGGTGCACTGGGGACATGTGATGTGGGGTGGTCGGCCTACTGGACATGGGGGTCATGGACCCTTTGTTTTGTTTGATGTGTTTCTTGGCCATGTGGTGCCACTTTCTCACCGCTGCCGCCACTCTCTCGTTGAATATGGTCGGTTTCATGCTCGATCCCATCTGCTCACAAAAAAAAAAGATTCATAGTTATTATTAACCACTTGCACATAAATTAAAAAAAAAAAAAAAAAAAAAAAGAAGAAAGATTCATAGTTATTATTAACCACTTGCACATAAATTAAAAAAGAAAAAATGTTTTCACAATTCAATACAGTTAAAATGGTAAAACAAATAACTCAATTAAAAATAAAAAAATAATTTTGAAACAATCGTTTTGTATCATTTTCTTGTACAATTTTTTTTATAACTTAATATGATATTTAAATGATTAATTATTTTAACTCATGTGAAACCTGTGATATTAAATATATTCACTCATTTAATTAATAACATGTGAAAGTTATTTAAAAAAATAATATAAAAAATTATCTTTGTACGTAGTACCACATTTAAAAATATATGTATAATTAATTTCTGTTTTACCTAAATATATGTATAATTAATTTCTGTTTTACCTGTGTTACGAGGGCATAGAGTGGAAGAGTAACGTAACTGCAAAGAATTTGAACGACTAGCCTGATAAAAATTGCATCATTAAAAAGAAAAAAATTCAGAACGCATATTGTTGGTCCATTAATTAGGGATTATTGGGTAATTAATTGATCAATTACTAAAATTACCCCATTGAGATTCTGATGACTAAGTCGTCCGTATGCTCATGGAAACAAGATCTTGGTTTAAATTCCCACTGTTAATTATGAGTAAAAAAAAACAGATAAGTTTCATCGAATTAAAAATAGAATTAAAAAAAAAAAAAAGCATTCAACGTAAATTCTTACCAAAGTCCATGTAAGGAAAGCAAGCTGAAAGGCATTCTGAGATATTAAAAAAAAAAAAAATTAGTGGCCAATAAAATGCATTTAAAAAAAATGAGTATAGTTAAGAATAAGAATACATACCTGAAAAAGAACGAAGTTGATGAGGTACAATAGGAGCCGGGGGCGGTTGAACCAGAAGAGGTCGTCGCCAGGCTGAACGACGGGGAGGCCTTGAACCACCTCTCCTCTCTCTTGGATTCGAAGCCCCATTTTGGTTATGATCACTTGTAGCTTAGTCCCCACCAGAAGGATCACCTGCATTGTTTAATCATCAGCCATTGTTTTGTGGATCCACTAATCATTAATTGATCATGATGTGAAATTGGAGAAATTTCTGCTTACAATCAATGGGAGGAATGGTAGCCATAGATAAGAGAACCCTCCTGTCCACGCATTAGAAAAAAAAAAAAAAATCAAAAAATTGGGCTTAAATTAAAAAGTTCAAAAATAAGAAGATAAATAATGTAAGGACTTAATTGTAGTATACTTTATTGCCTAAGGATTTAATCCTCTATTGTACTCACACTGTATAATGTGGTTCTCAATTTTCCTTTTTATGCAACTAAATCCTCAAGCAGTAATAGAAAGTAGAAACATATAATATCACCTACCATGGGTATTGGAGAGTAGGAAGAACACTGCAAAGAACCATATTGGAGGACTGAAAGTGAACAAGGAGAGAAAAGAAAAGAAAAGAAAAAAAAAGAAAAAAAAGAGATTAATTTAGTAATTCTAGGAAACATATGAGATGGCTCATAAAACTGGATTGGATGATATTTTTTTTTATAAAAAAAATGGAATTTGAAGAGAAAAAAAGGTTGTAAAATTTTTACCTAATTCCCACAACAACCTTGAAATCTTCTTCGAGTGATTTATTGATGTATTTTTGGAAATCAAAGTTCATATGACTTTGGGGTGCCAAATGTGCCTGCAAATAATATAAAAGAATAATATATAATTCCAACCTCAATAATTAAGTTGGCAAAAAAAATTAATTAATGGAAATTATTTTCTGAAATTACCAAAGGAATAATTTTATTTCCTTTAATTCCAGTTTGTTGAAGGTGACACAATTACGGGGGGTCATTATTACACTGACCCAAAACACCATAATTAGGAAACTTCTAAATGAACCCAAAATTTTGATAGACAAATTTGCCTAATGTGAAATAGTTTCATTTTTTTTTTTTGAATAATGTGTCACGAGCCGGACTCAAACCCACCCAAAGAAAGAAAAGGGATGCATCACAATGTGAGCGGAGGGCACTTGGGGCCGGGTGCGTGAAACAGTTTCATTTATACTCAAAAGGGAAAAAGTTTTGATCGAAACTTCATTTTCAAGCTCGTTTTAAAAGCAATAAATGAAATGTAGAAAATGTACGTACGTACCATAATAAATCCATGTCGAAGGGTCAAGTAATCCACCTTAGGTACCGACCTCACAAATTGCCTGAAGAAACAAACCTGTTCAAAAAGACGAAGTAAATGCTTTAAAAAATGAAGACGAAGAAAAAGCAACTGCATAATTTAGTTAAACGTTACAGAAAAATATCGTTTGGTCCGTATTCAAAAAAGTCAACGTACGTAACAAGAAAGAAAGAAAGAAAGAAAGGGGAGGTGCACGTATTAATTCAGCCGGTTCAGATGGACGTACTGACTCCGTCTATGGTTTGTCTACCGTCTTATTGAGACCGTTGTCCTTAACAGTCTCAAGACCGTCACCATTTAATTATACTTAGAATTCTAATGTTTAGCATTAATTATATTATCAAGGAATTTCAAGATCCATACAACAACCTAACCTACTCCAATGATTTAATTAGTTCAAGTGGTAAGAATTTCATTATTTTTAAGTAAAATTTTAAATTTAAATTTATAAATGAAGAGTTTTTGGGATTATTAAAAAATAAAATACAACCTAAGTTACGTTTTCTGAATGGTGATTTGAAAGCCGGAAGCATATAAGTCAATACATAAGTAAAGCAGACGGAGGTTAAAATTTTCTGTGGTTAATAATGTGAAGTCATGT